AAGAAAGAAACAGATGTTTTCTTTTCAGCTGAATTGAAGCCCAAGAAGATGTGGACATAGAACTTGTGGCAGCAATTTTGCTATGCTGTGGGGAGTAAGACCAGCGTGGAGGAAAGTATATCCAAGTGATGGAGAGATCCTTTCAAAACTCAGTGCTGGATCAAGCTACAACTAAAGCCTCGCCCTTGAAAGCCTGACAGTTCAGTTCATAAGCCAGTAAATTTCCTCTTTTGCTGAAATAATTTTAAGTCTGCTTTTTCAAAAGAATAGTAATTTCCTAGCACAGCAATTCTGACTTGGACTCCCTAAGAGCTAAAGGCTGGTATGTCTCAGGTTCCACCCCCAGAGTAGGGAGAGCTACTCTCCCTCCAGTTCTCCCCAGTAACCTCTGAATGCTCCAGGAAACCCTTCCAGTGTGGTCCTCAAACTAATATCCTAGATGCCCTTTGGCCCCACAAATCTCTTTAGGGGAGAGGCGGAAGCCCTGTTTCTGCAGAAGCAGGGAATGGTGATCTTGTTTCAGTCACCCAGCAAAGCCGCTGAAAGATGGTCACAAGTGAGGTCAGGAAAGCCTTTGTCCTCTTAAGTCACTTAAGGTCTGGATCCAAGGAGCTGACACTACCATGTCCCATCCAGGGACACAAAGCTGCTATCTGTCTCTACAATTCCATGTATGGTGCATGTGCCTTGTGCCCGGTATTACACCAGACATTGTACACTCATTCTCAGATGTGGTCCTCCGAGCAACTTGAAGAACAGGGATAATGACATCACCCAACTGAACAGATGAAAAGCTGAAGCTCAGAAAGTTCTCACTGAGATGGGCAGAGTGGCCCACCTGGAATCCCAGCTACTTGGGGTCAGCCAGGAAACATAGTAAGACCTCCATTTCACACACACACAAAAGAATTCAGTGACTAGGCAAAGACTGCAGTTGGTCATTGAAGGATCTAGGGTTTCAAGATACGCATTAGGGTTCTTTTATGAATTGGGACCCCTGTGGATGGGCAGGTGGCCGCGGAGAGACTCCTAAGCAGGACATTTGGAACAGTATGAAGTTGAAGTGGTCGCTTTGGAGGCTGCCTGCCTAAGATTGGGGCTGTCGCGACCCAGCTAGCGAGGGAGTGTGTGATACACCATCCATGTGACCAAGGGATTTTCCGACCTAGGGACTCCGGCTTGACAAGTGGGGGCGGTGGGAGGGGCGGGGCTCGCTGTGCCCGCCCACGTCCAGGTGAGGCGCCTGCGACCGGGCCGGAAGGGAGGATGCGCCCACGCACAGCTCGGGAGGTGTAGGGTGCCCTGGCCCTGGGGCTGTTGGGCCGGGCTTTCCCCGCGCCTGGGTCCTTCCTGGCCGGGCGGGCGGACGGGGCCGGGTCTTTGGCGGGGGTGGAAGAGGAGGGTGCCGCGCCCTGCCCGGCCCAGGTGTCCTCGCCGGGGGCGGGGTTTGGGAACCAGGCAGCTGGAGGTTCCCGGCTTCACTGGGAGGCGGGCGGACGTCGAGGGAGAAGTGGACCAGAGACCGAGGCCGGGGACTCAGGGAGCGCACAGAGGCGCGGGCCCCCAGCATGTTCTCCCGAAACCACCGGAGCCGGGTCACCGTGGCCAGGGGCTCAGCCCTGGAGATGGAGTTCAAGCGCGGCCGCTTCCGACTTAGCGTCTTCAGCGACCCGCCAGAGGTGAGCGAGCGTCCCCGCCCTGGCCTCCCCGGCCTCCCCGGCCTCCCCGGCCTCCCCGGCCTCCCCGGCCTCCCCGCGGCCTCCGCCTCCCGCACCCGACCGCGCAGCCGAGGGGCGCAGCCGCCGCGGTGCGCGCGCAAACCCACGCGAGCTGTTGACTTAAAAAGTAAGGTGTGGGCCGTCTGCACATCAGCCCCATACATTCCCAGGCCAGGTTGGCATGCTTTGCCTCCGCCTGGGAAAACTGCCGGTTGGCCTCGATTTGAGGGGCTGCAGGTTGGATTCCAGACTGTGCCGGGACACAGCCCCTCCTGGGCATCTCCGGGCCAGGGAGTGGTGGACAGCCAGGCGGGCTCCAAACGCCCGGGCGCCCGCTGGGTCCCCGCTGCCAGCCCCGTCCCACGCTCTTCCCAACTTTGCGGGCCAACCCCTGCCATCCCTCTGGACTCTCCGCCGCTGTGCTGAAGCCCTCCCCGGGGGCGCCTCTGTGCCTCGTTGGGCAGCAAGCGTGGAGGGCGGGAACGTGCGGGGTCTCTTTTAACCCTTGGGAGTTACTCCTCACATCCAGACTTTCCGCCTCTTTTCCTGGGGGTTAAGAGGAATCAAGCTTCTAGGCTGGAGTTTCCTCCGAGTCCAGCAGTCTGCACCTCTCATGCCCATCCGAGGCACCCCAGCCCTGCTGCAATCCCCTAAAGAGGCCGGGAAGGACCGGAGGGGTACGGCTGAGCCAGGACAGAGGGAGCATAGCCACCCACCGCAGTGACACGCCGGTCCCCAGGGTCAGCTGCACACTTGCCCAAGGAGAGTCCAGTTCCAAGCTGTCCTTCTCTCCCGGGCCCGGAAAGGGTTAAGTGAGGTGGGCCTTCCTCCAGCCCCTCACCCTCCGGCTGGGATTCCAGGCCTGGCTTCTGCCCTTTCCCTCCAGGCTGCCCATAACAAAGGCCCTTTCACACCCGTGTCCCGTGTCCCGTGTCCCAGGCCTTCTCTGAGTCAGAAGCTAGTGGACTGGGGGGAGCGATTTTGTCTCCCCACCCCCAGCAACTCGCCTGAAAACCCCGCGTGGGACAGGCGTGGAGGAGTAAGGAGCGAGGCCCGGGAACAGGAGGAGGGGCCTGTGCACCCCGCCGCCCCTGGGATCTGCCAGGCCTTGGAGAGCCGGGGCGGAGCCGCAGGGCCCGGCCGCAGCCGCGGAGCAGAGTGTGACTCCGTGGGCCTGGGGTGGAGGGGGCCACGCTGCAGCTGGTTGGGACTCGGGGCTGGTTTCCTGTCTGGAAGGGAAGGGGCCCCCAGAGGGGAGTGGGGGCCGCAGCAGACGGGCACACCCCTGCCTCTCTCCCTCCCTCTCCTCCCTGCTGCTGGAAAAGCGAGGTAATTGTGAGCCCGGGGTGGGGCGGGCTGGATGCGGCCCCGAATTGGAAGGGGCGGCCGACTCACCCCTTTGTCCCACTCCCCGCGTTCATCTCCCTTCAAGTCCCCACTGCTGTTGCTCTCCTTGCTAACTTTCTCAAACTAAGCCGGTCCTCTTGGAGAGAGTTCCAACCTCGGGACAAACCCCGGGACCAAGAAACCGGCTGGAGGCGTGCCCTCCCTGCCCCCTTCCAGCTGTGCCTGCCCCTCACTGCCCTCTCCTCACACAGATTCTCTGTCCACCGGGCCAGGGATGTGGGCGGGAGCTGGGGAGGGACCCGAGTAGGAATGAAAGAGCCTTTTTCTCTCACAGCTGGGAGAACAGCTGCCACCAAAGCAAGACTGGACACTGTATGCCCATAGTGCCCTCTGCAGCCGGCCTCCCCGCCCGGACTCCTGCTCATCCCCACCTCACCTTCCTTTCCTCCCCTCCTGGCCCTCACCAGGGCTGTGGAACAGCAGTAGGTGGAGATTTTATCACAGCAGCCAGAGGGTCTCACAGGAGCTAGCGGGGGAAAGGGCAGCCTCTCCCTTCTGCCCAGAGCTGGCCGCCTCTTTCCAGGCGGGGGAGCAGTGGGAGGAATAACGGTGGGACGTCGCGGTGCCACCTGCCCCCCAGGGGTTGCCAAGGGAAAGGGCTCTGGGGGGCACAGAGATGCAGGACAGATTGCACATCCTGGAGGACCTGAATATGCTCTACATTCGGCAGATGGCACTCAGCCTGGAGGTAATGCCCCTACCCCTGGATTACACACTTCGCCCGCTTGCGCCCCGGCCTGCAGCTACCTTCCCTGTCCCTGCTGGGGCTGGGGGCGCGGGGGAGAGGGACAGGCGATTCTTTACAGCCTGTGTTGGGGGCAGTGTGTGGACTTCGGCCCAGTTCTGCTCATCAGAAGGTTATGTTGACAGCAGCGTTTTCACGCCTATTTTTGGAAGCTGTGTGGGTGGATGTGGATGTCTTCTGGTGGTAAGGGCTCCTTTAGGTAAGCCATGGAGAGAGGTGTTCAATGTGAGAGGTTTTCAGGAAGGATGAGAAGACAAAGGAGACCCTGGGCAAGGAGTAAAGATCCTGTTAGCCTCAGAGATGGTGGGCAGATGTTTATTTATAAAGGTATTCTTTTTAATTTTTTGATACAGGGTCTCACTAAGTCATCTAGGCTGTTCTTGAACTTGTGAACTTCCTGTCTCTGCCTCTGAAGTAGCTGGGATTATGGGTGTGCACCAGCATGCCTAGCACTTACTTACGCTTGAACACATTTATTGAACACATGTTATGTGCCAAGTTCCTGTGTAGACCATGGGATACCTAAGTGAACAAGACAGGACAGGTCCATTCTAGAACAGATAATAAACATACAAACAAATAAATAATACAACATAGTGAAAATATGAAAACGGGGAATGTAAACAAAATTAGGTGGGGGAGGGGGCGTAAATGTGGCAGTCTGGGAGGATTTGCAGATGGGAAGTTGGGAAGAAGGCTTTCCAGAGGAAGGTATAGCAAGGGCAGAGGTCCTTTGATGAGGGGGAAATGTTTGTGGGAAAGAAAGAGGACGGTGGAATACAGCTGGAACACAGTCGCTAAAGTTAAGCTGATGGGCAGGGAAGATCATACAAGGCCTTGAAGACTATGGTAAAGTATTTAGATTGCACTCTGTATGACCCCGGTCCAGGGAAGGGTTTTAAGCAGAGAAACAATGCATCTAAAGTTTAAGTTTTAAAACAATAGCTGCTATACGAATAAACTGGGGGCCCAGGGATATAGCTCAGCCGCACAGTGCCTGCCTGGCAAGCACAAGGTCATGAGTTCCATTCCTGGTACAAAAAAAGAATAAACTGGGGTGGGGGTGGGGGTGGGGGTGTGGGCAAGAAAAGTAGCAAAAGACCACATGGTGGGTGGTCGTGTTGCAGTCATGGAGTGGACCTGAGGGTATAGACAGTGCTGATGGACTGCCCTGTGGGAGAGGTAGACAGAGAGCACTAGAATGATTCTCAGGTGTGTGGATAAGTCTGGATGGTTAGCCCTTTAGGGAGATAGGGAAGGTGGAGGAAGCTTTCAAAATGACTGCCTGGGCCAGGCAAGGGGCTGCTGCTAGCGGAGGTCGGAGACAGGCGTGTGAAGGGTCTCCATCTGGCATAGCCATTTATTGCACATTTGCTGTTTGCCTAGTTACCCCCCGCCCCACCAGAGTGGACATTTCAGGTCAATCATAGCACTCTTTACCAATGAGCCAGACATCAGCACAGACTTTACCAATGAAATAAAATAAAACATTTTGTTTCTTAGTTGGTGTAGCCACATTTCAAGTGCTAGATGATTACTGAGCATTTCCATCACTACAGTGGGTTTTATTGGACAGAGTTGGTCTAGGTGTATAAATGTTTGAATGCTCTACCTTGTGTTCTGCTCCCTGCCCAACAGTGTAATTTCTTTCCATTTGGGGGGCAGAGGAGGGGTTTGTTTTCACTTTGGTCAACTCTTCTTCAGCCGTAGGCTGAGGGTGTTATAATTCTTTCTTCCCCAAGTTCAGGGGATCCTCAAAAGAGGGGCCCACTGATGTTTCTGGGAATGTTGAGAAAGGTAATCCTGGAAGAATAAATCCAGACTTTCTTGGGGAGGCGATTTAAATTGCAGGTAAAGGGGAGGAACAGTGAGAGAAAACATTTTTAAATATGTGCTAGGCCAGGATAGAAGTTAGACTTTCCCACTTAATCCTCAAATAATGCTATGGCACGAAGTGAAATAGTCCCAGGTCCACGGACTAGGGTTCCAGAGGTCGAATATTCACAGCTTGTCAAGTCCCTAACCTAGAATTGGAACTTAGCCCTGGGGGAGATTCTCAAGGGAACAGAAGGTGGTGAGAAGCAGAGCAGGAAATCAGGGACGGAAGAAAGTGGGAGGAGTGGGAAAGGCGGTCCACAGAGGGCCGAATGTGTGCTGGGGCTTCTGCATCCTTTTTCAGTCCCCGGGGATCTGACCCAGGTTCCGCTGACACTCAGCTCTGCCCTCCTTCCCAGGAGTCTGGGGGAACTGTTGCCTGTGGGGTGGGGAGGGAGCAAGGACGGAGCGGTGTGGGGGCTGGGCTGAAGTACAAGGGTCCAGCGCCTGAGCCAGGCCCCCAGGTGCTCTACTCAGAAGGGTGGGGGCTGGTTTTCTTGCGCACCCCTGCTTATGGGCCTTGGAGGAGTGAAGGGGCTGGAGGGCAGTGGGCAAACAGGAGCAGTTCCAGACCCCCAGTTCTACTTTATACACTACCCACCCCAGGCCCCGGGGAAGGGGTCACCTCGGAGGGCAACCCCAGTGCGGAGGGGCCTCCTGTCCTCTGCAGGGCCCGGAGCCCATTCCAGGGCAGTGCAGGTGCTGCCGGGGTCCTGGCCCGCACCCTTCGTGGTGGAGACGCCCAGAGCGCGGATCCTAGCCCTGCGGAGCTCCGGGAGGAACCGCCCGCGTCTTGGAGCCCCTGGGCCACTCTCGCGGCAATTGAGATCTGATGTCACCGGCGCCCAGAGCACTGCTGGCGGCCGCACGCGCGGCGGCGCCTGCGGTATGATGATTCCCCGCGGCCCTCGGCCCAGCCAGCTCCGGGCTAGTGCTGCTCCCTGGATCCCGGGGCGCCACTGCGGGCGCCCACACAGGCAATGGACAGGGCTAGGGCAGGATCCGTGAGTGCCGGGGACTGGGACAACGGAGGCTACCCTGGAGGGGGCTTGAGGATGCCCGTGGGTCCTGTCTCTCTCTGGGGTATTTGTGGCAGTAGCTGGATACAGAGTGGGGTAGGGGTTGGCAAGCAGCGAAACTTAAAAGAGGTAGGACCTTGATGCAGACCGAGGAGGCTAGGCTGGGAGGATCTATGTAATCTTAGAGGGCTTCCTGGTGGAGGGGGCTTCGGGCTGGGTTGGCCCTTTTTGTAAGGGAAACCGGTGCTTGGTGCTGGGGTGAAGTGTAATGAAAGTCTAGCCTACCACAGTGACCCCAGGATAAAAAACAGATAATGAAGAGTGAATTTGCAGACAGGCTGGACGAGGAATTTTTTTTTTTTTTGAGACAGTCTTGCTATGTAGCTCGGCTGTCCTTGAACTCATAATGCTCCGATTGCCTCAACCTCTGAAATTCTGGGATTGCAGGTCTGTGCTACAGTGCCTAGCTGGGCAAGGGTTCTGCATGAGGGAATTCAGGAAGGCTGGAGCCATCAGGGACAGAAGCCAGAGGCACAGGATGTGGAGGAATCCTCAGTGAGAGAGAAGATAGGTTTGGGGAGGTCACAGTCATTCCCCTCTTCCAACTGGACGAACCCATCTGAACTATGGGGTGATCTCCCACCTCCTCTCTGAAGTCTCCTGTGATTGCCTCAGCCAGGAACAAGCAGGGTTTGTTTCCTGTGAGTGTGTTTATGCCATGACATGGCACTTACGGAGCAGCCATTAATGCCTGCACCTCTCAGCTCCCAGCTGGATTTCAAATCCAGAGCCATGGACAGCACAGATGCTCCTACGCTCACGGGAGGAGCACTAGTGCCACCAAAGTGGCATCATTGTTAGAATACCCATCCCTCCCACTCACAATACAGTTCTGTGTGCTAGTGTTGTGCCGAGTCCTCGTGTCCTAGTGGAGATGATTTGTATCCCCATTTCTCAGGTGGGAAACTGAGGTTTAGGAGGCTGAGTAAACTACCCAGTGCTCAGCACTTTTTTAGCGCCAGGACCACTTCTTTTTAAACGAATGTTCCTAGAGACTCTGCTGCCTCTTCTAGTGCCTCCCCTCTGCCCCGTATGCACAGCCTGCCCAGCCCCTTACTCCTGGACCATTTTCATGCACCGCCGTTCCTTGCCTTTGACCTCACACTCAAGCTCACAGGGCCAGACGGTGGTGGATCCCCTGATTTGGGGTGTGTATGGGGTTTTGTGTGGCAAGGGTAGGTAAACTCAGTGAAGGAGCATAAATTCACTGATCCTGTAAATCTGTTTTCCATTCCTAACTTCCAAGGGAAGACCCAGGCCACTGATATTTTATAAATTATGTATATATGCATATATATGCTAATATATACATATATGTATGTATACGTCTCACACAAATGGTAATGTGTATAATATTGTTCTGCTTTCTTTTCTCACATATTTTGTGGGGAAACTGCCTTATAACTCTTCATGTATGTCTAGCTCACTCTTTAATGTCTATCCATGGTATGGATGTGCCATGACTTATTTAACCAATGCCCTATTGAAGGACTTTTCATTTTAATTTTGGTATTTAAAACAATGTTGCATGAGTATTTCTGTACAAACGTCGTTGCCTAATATATGTGTAACTGGATCTGTAGGATAAGCTTGTGGAAATTGGATAGTTAGATGAAAAGATATGTGAACTTGTAGCTTTCCAAGATTTTTCCAAATTGTGTTCAAGAGGTAGAAAGAATTTATACTCCCAACCATCAAGTGCTTGGGGGCATCTGGATTTTTAAAAGCTTTTTTGATTATTCCTGAGCAACTAAGGTTGAGTCCCAGTGTTTGCTTTTGAGTTGCCTAAAACGTTAGTTTCTGGTCAGTTTTTCCCAGTGTACAGCCCACTTGGGGACTCGGTGGGGGGCGGGGCTGTGCTTCAGCCTGTTTTCTGACTGACATTTCCCTTTCACCTTTCCCCTGACCCTGGCTAGGACACAGAGTTGCAGAGGAAGCTAGACCATGAGATCCGGATGAGGGAAGGGGCCTGCAAACTGCTGGCTGCCTGCTCCCAGCGAGAACAGGCTCTGGAGGCCACCAAGAGCCTGCTGGTGTGCAACAGCAGAATCCTCAGTTACATGGGCGAGCTACAGCGGCGCAAGGAGGCCCAGGTGCTGGAGAAGACAGGACGGAGGTGAGCAAGGGGGAGGCGAGGCCTCGGTGGGAGCGGGAGGCTTTAAGAGTGGTGTCAGTGCGGCACGTGCATGTGGAGTGTGGACCGCTCTGCAGGAAACCTCCTGAAGGCCTGTCGGGGCTTGGTGTTTTACCACTGCAGTGTGCCGCACAGGGCAGCTAGGGCTGCACTCAGTAAAGTTAGTGTGCCTGGTGGAAGCTGGAGTCTGAGGAAGGAGTGCAATAGAGCTTATTTGCCAACACCTGTCTGTGATCCAAAAAAGCTGGCTGGTTTCTAGAAGATGAATGATCTCAAAGGCAGTTCACCAAATGGCCAATTTCCCACAAGTTCCCAGTAGTTTGTTGTACTGGGGATTCACCATCAGAGGCAGGAATTGAGAAAACATGTAATAAAAAACCACTTCAAGGAAAGCCTACCCATTCATGTAAGTCAGCTTGTGCATTGTAAAAGGGCTTAGCCTCTGGGTATGAAACACAATGACATTAGACTACACTGACACTGGACTGCTGATCTGCCCAATCTGCTGCGAAGTGGCTCAAGTGAGACGCTGTGGTCAAGCTAAAATGCTGGAGGACATATTTGGCAAATCGATCATTCTGAGAATTGGCCATTTTTGGTAAACTGGTCATTTGGAGAGCTGGCTAGGGCTGCTTGCCTCACCAAAGCTGGGTGGGAAGATGGTCCTAGCATGACACAGGGAAAGTTGTCAGCTCACCTGTGAAGCCAACAGAATGTGAAAATCCACTCTGCCAATGCTTCCTATAGGAAGGGCAAGCAGGCAAAGGGACACTTTCTCTGTGAGCATGGCCATCAACAGACTGTCCTAAGTCACCACACAGTATGACCTGAGATATGCCGGAGTCCCTGGTAGATAAACAAGTAGTCATTAGTTCCACATCATTTAGTCCTGCTGAGTCAAATTATGTTACTGCCATTATAAGTAAGTACAGAAAAACTGGCTGTCACTTTAGCCAAGAGACACTTGCTAGTGAATCCCAGTGATGGGCAGGGATGATACTGTGGGGGGTTCTGACGTGGGGAAGGTGGAGTACTGGGAAGGTGGGGCAGGTACCTGGCTAAGAGGGCAGAGCGGAGAAAGCAAAGCAGGAGGAGAGGTAGCGGAGGCGTCTGTGGTGAATGGAGCATAGATGTTCCGATTGTTTCTTCCATTCATCAAACACTGGTAAATTATCGTCCAACTGACCCAGTGCCCTCTTGCATCAAAGAAGTGACAAGGTGGTAGAAAGGTGTGGTTTCCTTGCTACTGCAAAGAAGAGCCTGCAGACACCTGCCAGTCTGGGTCTAGTGGAGAAAAGCCTTTGAAAGGAAGAGAGTCTGTCGGTGGGCACTCAAGGCCCCATTTGTCCCTGGCAGGGTCTGGCGAGATAGTCAGGGAGGGTGCTTGGAGCGGGAGGAGCCATGAGCTTGTGTACTTCATGAGCTTGAGTGTCCCTAAGCCCAGCAAACCCTGGGTTCAGTTAACAACTCGCACTGTCCCTGAGCCCCAACATGTCCATCTGGCTAGGGATCTGGGCCCTTGGGATCTGGGGGATCCTAGAGCCCTTGAGAAACTAGAGCAAGGGGGAGAAGTATGTAGGAGCCAGGCCAGGACCTTGTGATCTACCCACAGGCCTTCTGACAGCGGGCTGCCCCCTGACCGCTCCCCCTGCCGTGGCCGGGTCTGCATCTCTGGTAAGAAGCAAAGCTGCCCCGGCTGCTGGCACCCCTCGCCCAGCCACGCCTTCTCTTGCCCCGTCTCAACATCTGTTCCTTCCCCACTGCTCCTTAGACCTCCGGATCCCACTCATGTGGAAAGACACAGAGTATTTCAAGAACAAAGGTGGTAAGTTCCACACCCTGGGACAAATTCAGGGGCTTGTTCCCTGAGGCTGGAAGCTCTTGTGGGACGCCTTTTTTTTTTTTTTTTTAACCAGTTTTGCTCTTTGTCCCCAGACCTGCACCGCTGGGCTGTATTTCTACTGCTACAGCTAGGGGAACAGATTGAGGACACAGAGATGATCCTGGTGGACAGGACCCTCACGGACATCTCCTTTCAGAACAATGTGCTCTTGTGTGTACCTCACCCCAGTGGCTTCCTTCTTTCTCCAGTGTGCTGCAATCTCTGAGGCATTTCCATGGGAGGAGAGTCAGAGGAGGGAGAAGCGGAGGGGAGGAAGGGGGACCTGGGCACCTAGATTTCCCGGTGGAGCCGTCCAGTAATTGTACCCTCATCCTGTGCTTCCTGGTGACCACCTTCATTTTCCTCCCACACCCTTGCAGCACTGAGGCGGGGCCAGACTTTGAACTGCGGCTGGAGCTGTATGGGGCCTGTGTGGAAGAAGAGGGGGCCCTGGCTGGCGCCCCCAAGAGGCTTGCCACCAAACTCAGCAGCTCCCTGGGCCGTTCCTCAGGGAAGCGTGTCCGCGCATCGCTGGACAGTGCTGGGGGCTCAGGGAGCAGTCCCATCCTGCTCCCCACCCCGGCTGTGGGGTAAGACCCCACGCTCCTCCCTGCCCTCAGCCGCTGTATCCTGCACACAGTGACCTTTGAACCCTGCTGAGCAGGAAGAACCGCAATGCCAGGATATAAAGACGAATGGACACAACGTGTCAGGAGGCATTCCAGCCCGTACCTGAGCTATTTCACAGGCCCCTGGGAAGGCAGGCAGAGTTAGGCATTGGAGTTTTAACTTCTTAGCAGTTGCAAACACATCCTATAGATGGACAAGAACAGAGCCTCCTAGTTGGAACCAGGTATCTTGGCCCTGGAGATACTTCATGGAATCACCGGGACTCTGAGCAGCCATAAATTATGGGCAAGGTTCTTAACCTAGGCTCAAGGTGCCTCCTCATCTGTTAGCTGGAGAGTACCAGGCCTCACAGGGCGGCCAGGGAATGCAGTGTGGTAACAGATATAAGGTGTAGGTCGTGACAATCAGTGGGTCAGTAAATGGTTCATTCCTAGCCCTGTTGGGGAGGCAACCTGTTAGAGAGAGCTCCCCAACAATGGGGCAGACCTGCTCAGCCTTGCAGGCCCCTTTAATGCACCCCTCCCTCACCTGATGCCCCCTCCTTTCTCCAGGGGTCCGCGTTACCACCTCTTGGCTCATACCACACTCACCCTGGCAGCAGTGCAAGATGGGTTCCGCACGCATGACCTCACCCTCGCCAGTCACGGTATGTGCGCGCGCGTGTGCCTGTGTGTGCGTGGGACACGGGTGGTGCTAACGGGCTGTGGGATTCCCCAACTTGCCTTGCACTTTCTCATCCCCCAGAGGAGAACCCTGCCTGGCTGCCCCTTTACGGTAGTGTGTGTTGCCGCCTGGCCGCTCAGCCTGTCTGCATGACTCAGCCCACTGCAAGTGGTACCCTCAGGGTGCAGGTGAGGGGGCCCCAGTGAGTAGAAGAGGAAGGGAGGCAGGAGGAGCTGGACCATCTAGGAACAGGACTACTGGGAAAGAAGACCTGGGTGGATGAAGGGGGTGAGGCAAGATGAGGGGAGGGACAGGCAGGAGGGTGGGCCGAAGGGGCAGGTTGTCAGGGGAGGCTGGGCAGGAGGGTCCTGGGGGTGTGACTCCCCCAGGAAACACCGAGTCATTTCTACAGCAAGCTGGGCAGCTGCAGAATGGGGCACGAGTGCACGGAGTCTTGAAGGGCACAAACCTGTTCTGTTACCGGCGACCGGAGGACGCAGACACTGGGGAAGAGCCGCTGTTGACTATTGCCATCAACAAGGTGATGGGTCCCCTGGTGGTGAGGTCACCGGGTACCTGGGCCCAGGTGCTGCTCCTCAGGCCCCAGGAGGGTCGGCATAGACACCAGAGCCAGGGAGACTGCGGCCTTCTGCCCCTAACAGCATCACACGCTGCTTCAGGGCCTGGGGTGCTGAGAATCACACTCTTCTAGCCACAGCATCGTTGAAAACACCCTCTGGCCCTGCCAAGTCTCAGAGGGTTTCAGTGCCAGTTTAACACTTTTCTTCCTCTTTCCCCTATTCCCGATTCCAATCAGTATCTACCTCAAATGTCCTGTTTTTCTTTCCCAAGGTCCAGTTGCCCTTCTTTGCTCCCTAGCCCTTTTGTTGGCTCTCTGGTCTGTGTGTTTGTTTTTGGGTGCTGGGGATCAGATCCAGGGCCTTATGCATGCTAGGCAAGTGCTATACTGCTGAGCTGTAACCCAGTCCCCTGCTTACATCTTGGAAGTATGGAGGGGCCTTGGGCCTCAGTGCTCTTGCCCACTTGTGCCTTTCCTGCCCGGCTCAGCCCCTTTCCCTACCTCAATCTGCTCCCGCTTCCCTGGCTCAGCTGTGACTGTTTCATCCCCAGCCCTCTCCTGCCATTCCTTCCCACTCCGTTCAGTAGGAGGTAAATGAGGGCTCAGCAAGCCCCACCGCACTTCCTACTCAGGTGGGGGGTGATGCAGGCTGCCTGATCTCACTGCTGAGGGCCGTGACCAAGGCAGAGGTGGAAGCAGCCCTCTTCTTTCTCCTGCAGGAGACTCGAGTCCGGGCAGGGGAGCTGGACCAGGCCCTAGGGCGGCCCTTCACCCTCAGCATCAGTAACCAGTATGGGGATGACGAGGTGACGCACACCCTTCAGACAGACAGCCGGGAAGCTCTGCAGAGCTGGAGGGAGGCTCTGTGGCAGCTCTTCTTCGACATGAGTAAGGGAGAAGGGGGCTTGGCCAACTCAGTGTAGCAGGAGAGGGGCCTGGCCCTCTCTTCCCGTCAGTGCTCTTCCCACAGGCCGGTGGAAGCAGTGCTGTGATGAAGTCATGAAAATTGAAACTCCTGCTCCCCGGAAACCGCCCCAAGCCATGGCCAAGCAGGGGTCCTTGTACCATGAGATGGGTGAGTGAGAGAAAACGCACTCAGGGGGCTTGATGGAAAGTGGGGTTCTGGGCTTCAAGGGAACCCCAGATACAGGAAACAGAGAGGAAGCACACTTTGTGCTAGGATAGATTTCTGGGGACCCAAGGCCCACCCACTCCTGCTGTAGGCCTTTCTCCTCTCCAGTTCTTTTTAGAACGATCTCCACCAAAGTTCAAAACAAAACCTCAAAAAACAGATTCATTTCGTGGGCTTCTATCCTAATTTCTTCTTTTCTGTTTTCCTTTCCGCACGCGGATTCCTGTCTCTTCCTCTGACCCCTCACTTGCCTGGCACTGCTTTCATTTTTCCTTCCCTGGTTTCTTTACCTACTTCTGCTGCCCTCTCCCTCCCCACCCATGCTGTATCCCACAGACTTATCAGAGCCCATGGCCCCAGGGGGCCCTGGTGAGGGGCTGCTCCTGCAGGATAACGCAATCTCGGCCGAGATCCGGGCTCTGCTTTCCTATTACAGTGACAGGTGACAGTCAGGGCTGGGTAGGCCTGGGGCCTGAGCTCTGACGGGCCCCCTCCCCTCAACCCCTTCCTGATGCCGCAGCTATTGAGCCGCTGGATGACATCGCAGCGGTGACAGACATCCTGGCTCAGCGAGAGGGCACAAGGCTGGAGACATCCCCACCCTGGCTAGCAATGTTTGCAGATCAGCCTGCCCTGCCTAGCTCCTGCTTGCCTGCCTCAGTGGCCCCAGCCCCTGCCTGGACACACCCCTTGCCCTGGGGGCGACCCCGAACCTTTTCCCTGGATGCTGTCCCTCCAGACCACTCCTCTGGGGCTTCTTGCTCGGTTGCCCCTCTCTCTGCACAGCGACCCCCAAGTTCTAGAGGCCTCTGCAGCAAAGGCTCTCTCCGTACTTGGCTGCAGTCACCAGTGTGAGGGACAAGGGCACTGGCAGCAGGATCTGGCCAGAAAAGAAAAGGACCTACGTGCAACTGGGCTCTGGATGTGGTGCTGTCTGAAGCGGGTCGGCCAGCTTAGCCTCCTCCTCCTCTCTGCACTGGGGGTAGGCTGGGAGGGGGAACAGAAGCTCCATTGAAGTTGTGGGTACCATGGTACTGAGCGGTTCAGTCCCAGAGCTGGCTGGGATGCCCCCCGCTAGATCCTTCCTGGGAAAAAACTGGAATAACGCTTCCCTACCTCCCTGCACTAACCAGCTTTGAAGATGGCACTGAAGAGCCCTGGGAGGGAGCACACCTCCCTGTGACTCCTACATCAACCATTAAAGTTATTTAATAGCAGCTTTCACTCAGTTCTCTTTTCTTTACTGCCCAGTACTGGGAATTGAGCCCAGGGACTCATGCATGGTAGGAAAGTGCTCTACCCCTGAGCTACGTCCCCAGCCCTTTTAAAATTATATCTTGAGATGGGGTTTCACTCAGTTACCCAGACTGGCTTCAAACTTGCAATCATTCCGCTTCAGCCTCCCGGATAGCTGGGATTACAGATGTGAGCTACTGTGTCTGGCTCTCGCCTGGTTCTGGAGGACAGGTTGCCTGTCTCTGTGTGGTCTGGACCTGCCCCGCCCCTCCTCCCTCGAACTTATTTCGCCACCATTGTGAAATATAACTCTGATACTGAGTAATCAGACAAGGACTGGGTGGAGGGGATGCTTTATAAATACACGGGGAAGAGAAGGGCTGCTGTTTGCTCACACGCTGCCGAATCTCAGGATCTCAGTGACGTCATACCCCGTCACAGCAAAGGAGCTGCCCGAGGGATCACAGAACCGAGCACCACACACCTGGGTGTCAGATACACACTCACCATGACAGTGTTCCACCTGGGGGAGAAGAGGGCCCGTCAGGACTTGCTGCCTCACGCGTGGGACCCAGTTCCACCCTTCCCACAATATGCACCTCAATGCAGCCACTCTCTGGGCTTCTGCTCAGCTTCCAGATGTGCACAAAGGTGTCTTCAGCTGCAGAGAGCAGCTATAGAAAACAAAAACAAAACATGAAGGAAGAGTGAGAGCTAGAATGCCCTGATGGGACGGGTGTAGGCTAGAACGCCTAGTCCTGGTGCCCCAGGGAGGAGGCTATACTGAGTAGCCTATGGCATTCCTCTCAACATCCTAGCACCAGGAAACGGGGAACGCTGGGGTGCAGGAGACTGACCTTGCCCACCTCAGGAGCTAGGTCCAGTGCGCAGATGGCCCGGGCGTGGGCGTTGATCTGTATGTTCAGAGTTCCTGTAGTGGCCTCATAGAGATGCACTTGCCCGTTCCCATAGCCTGCTGCTACAATCCCCTGCCACAGCCGCACGGAGGAGCATGGGACCCTGCAAGGGTGACATTTACTGTTGGTTTGTGTAGACCCAAGGCTACACTCCACCTTGAAGCTCCCTCAGAAAGGCCACAGCCCCCTTCTGCCTCACCTACCCAAATCCTGGAATGTGGGTCAGTAATGTGAACTCAGGTCCTGACCTCCAGACACACAGTGAGCCAGAATCATCTGCTGTCACCATGTCAGCCACACCATCCTGAGGGGAAAGATGGGATCAGCTCTTCCTCTTCCCCCCTGCTGTGGTTCTGAGCACAGGGTAGGAGATGAAGGGAGGGCATATGTGCATCTTTGCCTCTCAAGGGTTAGGGCAAGACGTGGGGCCCTCACTGGCTGGACCCACCAGTAACCTTCCCCACGGTTCCCTCAAGAAGCACGGGCTGCTCTCCTTGCACTGCCTTACACAGTCTGACAACCAACCACACTCCCCTCCCCCATCATGTATTAAAGGGGGTACATAATTTTCTTACTGGATGGATGAAGGTGAGGCCACAGTGCCAGGATTTTTTGGAGGTCTTGCAGCGATCTCAGGAGCTCACAGTGCAGGCTGGACTCTGGGCCTCCTGATTCCCAACACCAGACAGCCAAAGCAGCCATAGACCCTTCTCTGTGCTAGGGTAAGGGAAGTTCACTTACCTGTCCTTGGGCAGGCTCGGTGGCAATATCTGTGACTGGTGTCTGGTGTCCTCCCAGCTCCTCACTCAGTACAATGTTGGGACCTTTGGCTGGGATGTCAAACACCAGCACTCGGCCTGACCAGGTTCCTGCAGCCAGAATCAGTGCCCCACTAGTGGCTTCCTGCCCTTCTGGGTTTCAGTACTCCCTCCACCCCAGAAACTTTAATAACAAACCCATGCTGCAACAGTCCCACCCCTTCATGCATTACCCCCATCCTATCCCACCCTGCCTCTCTGCCTCTTCTGTATGTTTTTGGAGTCTCAGGTCCCCCCTTGGCTCCCACCCTCCTCTCAAACCCTTCACAATTTCCTCAGGCTTTCAGCATCCTCCCAGCTGAAGCCCACATTCCTATACCTTATACCCCCCTAATGCCCTGTCCTTGACCCCCTCACCTACACAGATGAAGTGCCCACTGGCAGCAATTCCTCGGGCAAACACAGCCTGTACTGAGTATGAAAAGGGAAAGTTGTCAGATATAGCGCTTCTCCCAGCCCTAGGAGACACTGCCTACCCATATGCCCATTAGGTCCTGCAGGTACCTGAAGAGGCATCTCCAGAGTCCAGTGCATGCCAATAGACCATGACAGAGCCATCAGACTCGTACATCTGGAAGATAGGACCAAGGATGAGGCATGACCCAGCTGACCTTTGTTGGGCTCTGCACAAAGTGCTTTACATATCCATGTTAGCCTTGCCCCCTTTAATCCTCAAAACCACACTTGGAGGTAGACACTATCCCCCCACCCCCATGTACTGGGGCTTGAACCCAAGCTTCGTGTATGCTAGGCAAGTACTGACACTGAGCTACTTCCCTGACCCTTTTTATTTTGAGACAGGGCCTTGTTAAGTTGCCCAGGCTGGCCTCAACTTGCAATCCACTGCCTTGGCTTCCCAAGTAATTGGGTTTACAGATGAATGCCACCATGCCCAGCTATAGGCACTGTTTTTATACTATTTTTTCAGATGAGGACGCTGAGACTCTGCCCAAGCAAATACAGCCATTTTTTCTTTTCTTAACATGGTACAGCTACTAAAGGGCCAGATGTTGGAGCCCACTTGGGGACTGGAGAGGATAGAGGAAGATGAAGAGAGGAGAGTGGGCTATGCATGGGAAAAGGTTGGAAGTATTTACAGCCCAATGGGAAAGGGTCTGGGGACCTTGGAAAGATTAGTGGGGGATGTCAGCAGGGTCTTCTTACCTGTATCCCTCGGTGTGAAGTGAGAACCAGCAGTACTCGGAAGGGGAGGACACACCAGTGGACCTGGAAGGAGGTGGACCAGGTGGAGAGAGGAAAATTAGAGTGGAGATAGGAGGCATCAGAAGAGGAAATTCAGAGGGTCGGCAGAGCCTATTCCTTGAGATTTGAAAGGGCAGGGGCAGGGCTGAGTTCAGGAACTCCCTGGCTCACCTGAGTGATAAGTGGGGGGCTCACTCCTGCGCCCTCTTTAACGTGGAGATGGCGCTGGGCCAAGGGCACACCGTCAGGGGCAGCACTAAGAACCTGGGCGCTTGGTCCATGAACCACCCCAAAAAGCGTGAGGTTGCGGGCGGGCAGCTGTAGTACACTGAGATTGTTGCACAGGGCGGCGGCGGAGCCTTGGAGGGGGATGGAGCGCTCCCGGCGGAACATGCTGTGGGACAGAGACCGAATCATTGCGTGCGGGAAAAAGATCACGGTGGAGACTGGGGAGGGCAGGCAATTATGAGGGACAGAGGGAGATCTCTGAGACTAGGTGATGAGATGGGATGTCCCCAGAACGGTGATGGGACAGGGTCGCCGGGGGAGGGAGGGTCTCCTGGAGCACAGGAAGGGAGTCCCAAGGCTGAGTCACGGGGCGATGGGGGAAATCCCTGAGGAATGGTGGTGGCACAGGACCGGGTGGCTCGAGTGGTTAAGTCCAAAAGGCAGGATGTGGCTGTCAGGCACTTCCCCCTTCAGCTCGGCTCCCTGCAGGCCCGTGCTTGGGTCTAAGTTCACACCCGTCGCCCCACATCCCCTTGCCTGATTCCAGGATCCTTCGGTTCCTCCGAATCCGCCGCCACCATAGAGACGACGCACACACGCACGCCGCTGGGCGGGGCGAGCGTGCGGCGCGTGGCCCGGTTGCCGGGTAACCAGGGGGGAGGAGCCACTCGCGCGCCTCACGGTTGCCGAGGCGACCGTTAGGCTGCGGCGGCTGCGGCCTCTGCGGTCGCTGAGTGCTCAGGAGACGGCTGAAACTCTCCCGTCGAAGCCACCGCAGCAGCAATGGCGCAGGAAAGCTCGGTGAGCTTGAGCTCCAGTAGGGGTGCGCCAGTAATGGGGTCGGCCAGTAAGGTCGGTGTCGCGAACAGTGGGCCGGTTCTACCGCGCCCCGGCGTTGAGGATGACTGAAGCCACGTCGGTGCTTGGGCAGGAAGCTTACATCTGCACGGTGCCCAGTCCCACGCTTCGTCACACTCGGCCCCTGAGGGAGGGAGTCAGTTGATGTAGAGCTTGAGAACTACACTTGAATCTGAAAACAGCTAATACCTGTGATAAGTCTCTTACAAGTGGGCAAACCAGAAATGGCCGGGTATCTAGGGAGAGGTGTTGATCCGTAAATCATATTTTTGCCGAATTTCTCCGGAGGAAAAAAAATGCGTTAAACAACAACGCCTAAAGTACACCTGAAAGTTCATGTGTTTAAAAGCCAAGATATTTTAAAGAAAACAGATTTGAAGGGCCTTTGTGCAAAAAGATGTGGTCAGGCCACATCTAGGCACGGTTACCTGGCGGCGGGGATCAAACGAGAGGCTGGGAGGAGAGGTCTAAGGAACCAACTGTTATCCTGGCGTTATCTGTCCCGCTCTCACCAAGCCGGGCCAGGGCTGTGGGCCCCACCCTGGGCTTGCCACAGGGCTGTGCTCGCCGGTGGAAAGGGGGAAATAAGGCATAAGGGATTTTGAGTTCAGTGTGAGGGTTAGGAAACACCAGATCTGAGAGAGAATGAATTTCAGGGAATGACGAGTATAAGGCGCTAAGTGGGGGGTTGGGCAGCCGATAAAGGTTTGGGAAGATCGTATTTGGAGGTAAATTTTGGAAGGAACCAGATACGGGGAAGTGGGGAAGTGCGTAAGCTTCCAACAAACTTGGTAAATTACCATGTCCCTACCGTGAGTTTGGCGGCTAGACCCTCTATAGTGGGTTTTTCACTATTATTAATTTTTCACTATTATTTGGTTTTGCCGAGACAGGATCCCCTTACTGTGCATAGTTCAGGCTGCCTTAAACTCACTATGTAGCATACACTGGCCTCAACTCGCAGCAGTCCTGCCTGCCTCAGTCTCCCAAATGCTGGGATTACAGGCATGTGCCACTGCACCTGGCTTTCTTGATTTTTAAAAGGATACAAACTCCTTGATAAAACAGAGAATAGAATAGGAAAGAAATATATCTCCTGTAATCATTTTGGTGTTTTCTAATCTATACTGGTCAATATTACTGATATTGTAATTAATGTGCAATTTTGTATCTTCTTTCTTTGACCTAAAATTCAGTCAAGCATTTTCGTATGCTATTGCGAATTCTTTCTAAAGATTACCTTCATCATTACATAAAATTCCTTATTCAGATACAGCGTAGTTAACCATCTACTCTTCCTTAGATGAAGGTTCAATATTCTGCTATTATAAATAACACTACAGCTAGTATATTAAAAGTAACACTACAGGAGTATATATATGTTTTCAATTTCTATATTTGCTTGGTACATGTTTGCAGTACATACTGATTAAATCATTCGTGATGGGGAGTTGGTACACATATATAACACATCTGAATTCTTTTT